AACTGCATTTCCCATAAAAAAAACATTTTCATTATTTCTTTTTCTCCAATAGTGAAATTCCCGGAGAGGGTTTTTTTTTGAAGGTAAAGTTTATTCGGAGAAGGGTTTTTTTTTTTAAGGGAAAGTGATTCAGGGGGAGTGTTTTTTTTTAAGGTAAAGTGATTCAGGGGAGTGTTTTTTTTTGAAAAGGGAAAAATTTTCGGAGAGTGTTTTTTTTTGAAGGGAAAGTGGGGTTCGGGAATTTGAAAATTTTTTCCACCGAAGTGGGTAGTTTTTTGTTCAAACCCCCAAAACCATCCTGTGGGACGGGAGCGTAAAAAGCATATGGGTACACAAAAGGGCCCTTTGGAACTAGGCCCCAAAGGGTTTAAAAGAATAATATGGGTTTTTAACTACATATCTATAGTTCACTTTTCTGTTTTCAAGCAAATTTAGGAAAATTTTTCTTATAAATCTGGTATCTTTTTTTTCATTAATAAGATATTTGACATGGGCACCAAAGGGTTTTTTATACTGTCCGGGCCCTGATTCTTCAATAAGTGGACAATTAAGCACATAGTTTTTTTCAAAACAGGGGACCATAAGGGCCGGCCACATAATTTACATTTTGTTTTTATCATCATCTGTGTGTCCCCAAACTGCCCCGAAAATACTTGTAACCAACCTAAGCCTGGCCACTACAACATCAGTCAGTCGTTCCAGGCAAATTGGGTTCCAAAAACATCCCTTTTCAAATTTTATGTTAAACATAGTGGGTTTTAGATTTTACTAGGGTTCTAACTGCATTCCAAAAACAATCATTTTCATTAAAAAACTTCTCTCCTAATAGTGATTCAGGAGAAATGTTTTATTTGAAGGTAAAATGAAACAGGAGAGTGCTTTATTTAAGGTAAAGCGATTTTAGGAGGGTTTTTATTTGAAAGGAAAAATGATTCGGGGAATGTTTTATTTTTAAGGAAAAATGATTCGGAAGTGTTTTTTTTTAAGGTTAAAATGATTCAGAGTCTTTTTTTTTGAAGGTTAAGTGGGTTCAGGAGAGTGTTTTTTTTTGAAGGGAAAAATGATTCAGGATCTTTTAAATTTTAAGGGTTTAAATGATTCAGGAAGTGTTTTATTTGAAGGGAAAGTGATTCAGGAGAGTCTTTTAAATTTTAAGGTAAAGTGATTTAGGAGAGGGTTTTATTTAAAGGTAAAATTAAGGAGGTTTTTTTAATTTAATTTATTTTTATTAAAAAAAAACCTAACCAAAAGGGGTTAAAACCGCTGCGGGTAGGAAGGAAGAAAGGGAATTGGATGGCAGAGGGGGAGGGGAGATCAGAGGGTTTCAGAAAAAAGCGGGGGAGGGATAGTAGGGGGAAGGGTAGCAAGAGATTGAGTAGAAGGGTTTTAAAATACAGAATTTGTGAAGTAAGTCAGTCGTTCAAAAATCATGAAGAGTCCGGATGAAAAGGGGGGTCCACAGCGAGAAGGGAAGGAAAGAGAGACAGCGGAGCGAAGACGACACAAGGTAAATTTGCGTGCTCGTTGATAAGTGGGAGTCCAAAGAATTTGGCTGATGAAATGGGGCTTTGCAAAAAACACAAAGGAGCAAACGCCTCCCATGAGAATCCAGGTAAGACGGGGTATGGCCCAAACAAGACGGGAGGGTAGTCCCCCCAACCCCGACCCTGGGGGAAAGAAGACGGCCCGTAACCTTATCTTTAAAAAACCCGAAGTTTTTGCCGGCATATAGACCAACGTTGTTCCAACGGGGTGAAAAAGGGGGGAAGTATTACACAAAATAGTCCGTAAATGGGAAAACCCTTTTGAAAATGGAAAATCTGTACTGCTGACCGCGCGCAGTGTCTGCCTGTTTTTGCCCTGTACGCAACATGCCGGGACCAACAAAAAACAATTCCCCTTTTTTTCTTGGGGAAAGACGGGTAGCCAAAATTGGTACGGGGGGGGAAAAGGGGGGAGGTGTATCAAAATTTTTTTTATAGCCGTAAAACATAAGGGAGTCTAGACAACCACAAAAATGACCACATAGATGCAAAACGGAAAGTGCTTTAAAATGCATATAAAATTTAGCAGTAAAAAAACTAGCCCAAAATAGGAAAATCCCGTTCGACCTGTCCGGAAAAAACTAACTTTTTATTCCACCGTACACACATTTTCAGCCTCGATATTCCGGATTATTAACCAAAGACTTTTCAACCCCATTACATCGCCCTATTGGGGGCGTCCCCGCGACGCTGGTTCCCCTCCCTCACTCCCCACAAATTTTCGAAGGTCAAAACACGCACGTTTAAACCCCAAATTTTATTTTTTATTTCTTCTATACTCTAAATTCAGGAGAAATTTTTAAAAAAAAAACCATATGCTTTTAGCGGGGAAAATTTTTAAAGGCAGTTTACCTTGTTCTTAAATTTTGGTAAAGTGATTCAGGAAGGGGCTTTATTTTTAAGTAAAGTGATTCAGGGGGAGTGCTTTTTTGAAGGTAAAGTGATTCAGGAGAGTGCTTTATTTGAAGGGAAAGTGAATTTAGGGAGTGCTTTTTTTGAAGGTAAAACGATTCAGGGGAGTGCTTTTTTTGAAAGGGAAAGTGTTCGAGAGGCTTTCTTGAAAGGAAAAATGATTCAGGAGAGTGCTTTATTAAGGTAAAAACGATTCAGGGAAATGCTTTTTTCTGAAAGGGAAGTGATTCAGGAGAGTGCTTTATTTTAAAATAAAGTGATTCAGGGGAGTGCTTTATTTGAGGGAAAGTGATTAGGAGAGTGCTTTATTTGAATTAAAGTGATTTTAGGGAGTGCTTTTTTTGAAAGGGAAAGTGTTAGGGGAGTGCTTTTTTTGAATAAAGCGATTCAGGGAAATGCTTTATTTTAAGAAAAGATTCAGGGGAGTGTTTTTAAAGGAAAAATGTTTAGGAGAGTGCTTTATCTTAAGGTTTAAAAAGATTTGGGGAGTGCTTTATTTGAAGTAAAGTATTCAGGAAGTGCTTTTTTGAAGGTAAAGTGATTCAGGAGAGTGCTTTACTGAAGGGAAAGTGATTCGTAAGTGTTTTATTTGAAGGGAAAGCGATTCAGGGGAGTGGGTTTATTGAAGGTAAAGGATTCAGGAGGGGCTTTTTTTGAAATAAGTGATTCAGGAGATGCTTTTTTTTGAAGGTAAGTGATTTAGGAGAGTGCTTTTCTTTTAAGTAAAGGTTCGGGGTGCTTTATTTGAAAGTAAAGTATTCAGGAGAGGTTTTTTGAAGGTAAAAATGATTCAGGGGAGTGCTTTATCTGAAGGGAAAGTGATTTGGAAGGCTTTATTTTAAGGTAAAATGATTTAGGGGTGCTTTATTTGAAAGTAAAGTGATTCAGGGGCAGTGCTTTTTTTTGAAATAAAGTGATTAGGAGAGTGCTTTATCTGAAAGGGAAAGTGATTCAGGAGAGGCTTTTTTGAAAGTAAGTGATTTAGGAGAGTGCTTTATTTGAAGGAAAGGATTCGGAGATGCTTTATCTGAATAAAGTGATTCAGGAGAGTGTTTTTTTTTGAAGGTAAAGTGATTAGGGAGTGTTTATTTTAAAGTAAAGTGAAATTTTGGAGAGTGTTTATTTGAAGGTAAAGTATTCAGGAGAGTGCTTTATTTTAAAATAAAGTGATTCAGGAGAGTGTTTATTTGAAGGGAAAGTGATTCAGGAGAGCGCTTTATTTTGAAAGTAAAGTGATTCAGGAGAGTGCTTATTTTAAAAGTAAAATGATTCAGGGAGTCTTTATTTGAAGGGAAAGTGATTTGGAGAGTGTTTTTTTGAAGATAAAAATGATTCAGGAGAGTGCTTTTTTTTGAAAGTAAAGTGATTTAGGAGATGCTTTATTTGAAGGAAAGTGTTTTAGGAGAGTGTTTTTTGAAGATAAAGTGATTCAGGGGATGCTTTATTTGAAAATAAATTATTTTATTATAATCAAAAAGAAGCGCTAAGCACAAGGACTAAACCATTTGAAAGTAAAGTGTTCAGGGGAGAGTGCTTTTTTGAAGGTAAAGTGATTCAGGAGGTGCTTTTTTTTAAAGAAAGTGATTTAGGGGAGTGCTTTATTTGAAGGAAAGTGATTCAGGAGAGTGCTTTTTGAAAATAAAGTATTCAAAAGGGGCTTTATTTTAAGGTAAAGTGTTCAGGGAGTGCTTTATTTGAAGGTAAAGTGATTCAGGGAGTGCTTTTTTGAAGGTTAAAATGATTCGGAGAGTGCTTTATTTGAAGTAAAGGATTTGAAAAGGGAAAGTCAATTATTTTTTCAAATGCGTGCCTTTAGTAGAAATTATCATTCTTTTTTTAATGTTTTCACCTTAATTACATGTTAGAAAAAAATTCTAATTTCAAAGTAGGGTTTAATGAAATATTTCCTTTAATGTCCCCTTAAAATTTTGTGTATGTGCATAACGTGCCTGGGGTTTTATGGTTTTTGTTCATCCCCCAAAGGGAAGTTTCTTTCGGGAAAAGCGATTACATGGTCTTCCATGTGCACCTCCCAAACAAAAAAAAATGCCTATTAATAAGAAGAATTTTAAAAAATTCTCGTATACACACCACACACACACACACACACACATACACACACACACACACACACACACACACACACACACACACATACACACACACACACACACACACACATACACACACATACATACAAGCACGCACACACATACACACACACACACACACACACACACACACACACACACACACACACACACACACACACACACACACACATGCTTTCATTAGCTCGAAACACATACACCTGGTAAACGGGTTTTATCAATAACACATTTCACATACAGTACAGTATATATCACTTACCTAACCTAGAATCACTAGTGACATTAACTGTTTCGAAATACCCTTCCACCTTCTTGTGTTCTACCACTTATGAAGTTCATCAGTTTGTGCTTAATTTAACTCCTTGGATCAAGAACAATTAACCGGCTGCAAGTACCTCCCTTGTTGGGTTTATTTCAAATCTCAAAAATATGGGAATCATTACTTTCCTTTCAGTGTCCTTCTAATAATACAGTAATGAAAGTGCTCTTGTTTTAGGAGACATAAATATTCACAAGAAAATTTCTTATAAAATGAATATGAATACACAATCTATTTAAGAATATGTAACACTATCAAATTATATGAATCCCAACCTTTATTCTTTAGTGAGCACACACTGATTTACTTTTTTCTAGGGACTGGATGTATATGCAGAAGACATACAACATAACACAGTCGTTGGTGTGCTCCACTGGAGATGAAAAACCTTTCGCACCACAGCTGAAGCATCTTCTGAAACAAGAGAACAAAGTTCCTCATGATCTTGGAATCGTAATCCTGTTGGCACTTTCTATTGGAATTCTGCAAGACTTATACAAAATATTAAGAGTAAGTAAAATATCATATAGAAATATAAATCCATATTGTCCTATTTTTTTTTTCTCAAAAGATTCATGGTGTAAATATCCAGACGGGCAAAATATTATATGAACATTGAGACCAAAATTGGATTCTGTAATAGAAAATTACTGTTTACTGGAAAGGTCGGTAAAGGCCATAAAGGAGATTATCCGACGGGAAACTAAAATCTCATTTTAACAAATACAAACAGTTCAGATCTTCAAATTCCTTCTTTTCTTATCAACTGCAACTTGTCGATATTAACACACTATCCACTATTAGAAAAACAAAAAACTCTTGAGTGGATCGCAATTGTGACCTTGATTAACCTATCCAGTTAACAACAGATTTTGGTTAAAAATATATACGTATTAAACTGTTGTAAGGTGGCTAGTGTGACTCTCTGGTGATTTCAGAACCGAGAGATCACGGGATCGAATTTTTTCACTTTATTATCCCATTAACTCTGTCATCTGCTAGATATATTGCTAACATAGAAGGTCCTCGAGTTGAGCCGCTCATCAGCTGCCGGTTGAATCGAAGGTTCCCCGCAAAAACTTTTAACTTGGTCACAGTTGTGATCTTCATCTGTTGCAGTTGCCAGCAGTCTCTGGTTGAAGAACAATCTTGACTAATGCCATACTGAAATTGGTTGATAATCTCAGAACTGTTGGGTTGTGTGTTCCAGTGCCCTTCATTTCAGAATTTTTTACATTCCCTGTTATGAATTTCTCTGTTTATGTGGCATGTGCGTATGTACTCGCCTATATGTACTCGCCTACATGTGGTTACTTTATCGTACCTCTTAACGTTATGAAGGGATCTCTCCTCTACTTCATCTCCAGAATGTTCCACTTCCTGACAACCCTAAGGCTGAAGCAATACTTTCCAATATCCCTATGACTCATCAGAGTTTTCATCTTACAGCTGTGCGTAGGCGTGTGTACGTATGCATATGTACGTATGTGTGTAATATTTTTATATATTTTATTTAAAAACTTACAGAATACTAAAATGTACACAAACGTAAAAATGTCGACCAACATATAGACCATTTTCAAAACTTACACAAATTACAACCTCAACACAATCTATACCAATCCAATGAACACTAAACCCTTACACACTGATAACACTCCCTCAAAACCTGCAGCGTACAGGGTGAGGAACCCTTGCCTCCACACCATAGTGTCACAACCACCTTCCCCTTAACTTAATTTTCATCTAAAAACACTTTCCCCAATATATATATACATGATATGAAGGGGTAGCAGTAATGTTGAAGGATCAGTTATGGAAGGAGAAAAGAGAATATGAATGTGTAAATTTAAGAATTATGTGGATTAAAGTAAAGGTTGGATGCGAAAAGTGGGTCATAATAAGCGTGTATGCACCTGGAGAAGAGAGGAATGTAGAGGAGAAGAGAGATTTTGGGAGATGTTAAGTGAATGTATAGAGCCTTTGAACCAAGTGAGAGAGTAATTGTGGTAGGGGACCTGAATGCTAAAGTAGGAGAAACTTTTAGAGAGGGTGTGGTAGGTAAGTTTGGGGTGCCAGGTGAAAATGATAATGGGAGCCCTTTGATTGAACTTTGTATAGAAAGGGGTTTAGTTATAGGTAATACATATTTAAGAAAAAGAGGATAAATAAGTATACAAGATATGATGTAGGGCGAAATGACAGTAGTTTGTTGGATTATGTATTGGTAGATAAAAGACTGTTGAGTAGACTTCAGGATGTACATGTTTATAGAGGGGCCACAGATATATCAGATCACTTTCTAGTTGTAGCTACACTGAGAGTAAAAGGTAGATGGATACAAGGAGAATAGAAGCATCAGGGAAGAGAGAGGTGAAGGTTTATAAACTAAAAGAGGAGGCAGTTAGGGTAAGATATAAACAGCTATTGAAGGATAGATGGGCTAACGAGAGCATAGGCAATGGGTCGAAGAGGTATGGGGTAGGTTTAAAAATGTAGTGTTAGAGTGTTCAGCAGAAGTTTGTGGTTACAGGAAAGTGGGTGCAGGAGGGAAGAGGAGCGATTGGTAGAATGATGATGTAAAGAGAGTAGTAAGGGAGAAAAAGTTAGCATATGAGAAGTTTCTACAAAGTAGAAGTGATGCAAGGAGGGAAGAGTATATGGAGAAAAAGAGAGAGGTTAAGAGACTGGTGAAGCAATGTAAAAAGAGAGCAAAGGAGAGAGTGGGTGAGATGTTATCAACAAATTTTGTTGAAAATAAGAAAAAGTTTTGGAGTGAGATTAACAAGTTAAGGAAGCCTAGAGAACATGGATTTGTCAGTTAAAAATAGGAGAGGAGAGTTATTAAATGGAGAGTTAGATGTATTGGGAAGATGGAGGGAATATTTTGAGGAATTGTTAAATGTTGATGAAGACAAGGAAGCTGTGATTTCGTGTATAGGGCAAGGAGGAATAACATCTTGTAGGAGTGAGGAAGAGCCAGTTGTGAGTGTGGGGGAAGTTCACGAGGCAGTCAGTAAAATGAAAGGGGGTAAGGCAGCCGGGATTGATGGGATAATGATAGAAATGTTAAAAGCAGGTGGGGATATAGTTTTGGAGTGGTTGGTGCAATTATTTAATAAATGTATGGAAGAGGGTAAGGTACCTAGGGATTGGCAGAGAGCATGCATAGTTCCTTTGTATAAAGGCAAAGGGGATAAAAGAGAGTGCAAAAATTATAGGGGGATAAGTCTGTTGAGTATACCTGTAAAGTGAAATGGTAGAGTTACTATTGAAAGAATTAAGAGTAAGACGGAGAATAGGATAGCAGATAAACAAGGAGGCTTTAGGAAAGGTAAGGGGTGTGTGGACCAGGTGTTTACAGTGAAACATATAAGTGGCATTTATGGATTTGGAAAAGGTTATGACAGGGTGTATAGGGGGGCAATGTGGCAGATGTTGCAGGTGTATGGTGTAGGAGGTAGGTTACTGAAAGCAGTGAAGAGTTTTTACGAGGATAGTGAGGCTCAAGTTAGAGTATGTAGGAAAGAGGGAAATTATTTCCCAGTAAAAGTAGGCCTTAGACAAGGATGTGTGATGTCACCGTGGTTGTTTAATATATTTATAGATGGGGTTGTAAGAGAAGTAAATGCGAGGGTCTTGGCAAGAGGCGTGGAGTTAAAAGATAAAGAATCACACATAAAGTGGGAGTTGTCACAGTTGCTCTTTGCTGATGACACTGTGCTCTTGGAGATTCTGAAAGAAGTTGCAGAGATTGGTGATGAATTTGGTAGGGTATGCAAAAGAAGAAAATTAAAAGTGAATACAGGAAAGAGTAAGGTTATGAGGATAAGATTAGGTGATGAAAGATTGGATATCAATTGGAGGGAGAGAGTATGGAGGAGTGAATGTATTCAGATATTTGGGAGTGGAAGTGTCAGCGATGGGTCTATGAAAGATGAGGTGAATCATAGAATTGATGAGGGAAAAGGGTGAGTGGTGCACTTAGAGTCCTGTGGAAGCAAAGAACTTTGTCCTTGGAGGCAAAGAGGGGAATGTATGAAGTATAGTTTTACCAACGCTCTTATATGGGTGTGAAGCATGGGTGATGAATGTTGCAGCGAGGAGAAGGCTGGAGACAGTGTAGATGTCATGTCTGAGGGCAATGTGTGGTGTGAATATAATGCAGAGAATTCATAGTTTGGAAGTTAGGAGGAGGTGCGGGATTACCAAAACTGTTGTCCAGAGGGTTGAGGAAGGGTTGTTGAGGTGGTTCGGACATGTAGAGAGAATGGAGCGAAACAGAGTGTATCAGTCTGTAGTGGAAGGAAGGCGGGGTAAGGGTCGGCCTACGAAAGGTTGGAGGGAGGGGGTAAAGGAGGTTTTGTGTGCGAGGGGCTTGGACTTCCAGCAGGCATGCGTGAGCGTGTTTGATAGGAGTGAATGGAGACAAATAATCTATCCCAATCTAGAGAACACTAAACTATACACTCTGATTACACGCACTTAAAACCTGCAATATGCAGGATGAGTAAACCCTTGCTGCCACCACACAATATTGGCACAACCCCTTTCTCCCTAACATAGTTTGCAATTAAAAATACTTTTACCCAGTATACAAATACATGATATGAAAACTCTACCAATTAACAAAATCATGAATTATAATGTTAGGTTAAGACGTTTGTTTTTCCACCTATGTTAGTATCTGCATACAATATACACTATCACAATTACATTACTCCACCCTAGTCATAACTACCAACAAAGGCGTTTTTCTGTTTATCCAAATAAGATTACATTCTATCCACCCCACCCAAATTTATAACTGTGCACTCGCCAAACCCAATTTTCCCCTTTCCCCCTTCCCCCAGCCATTTCATAATTATCACATAATTTTAAAACAGGGGTTTTCCACATCACCATACTCCCACCACCCCTTTCTTAAATCTGCTCCTTTAACAAAAGTGCTTTGTAAGGGGAAGTTTCCTGATGACCCCAACAATTACATGAATGTGCAAACCCAAAACTAAAAAATAAACTCGACAAAATTTAATTTCATCTTAACTGTATTCCACCAAACATACCAGATACAAAAATTTTCCCTTTTTTCTTTAAGAAACCATTACTACCCCATATTTTTACCGTTTTCCCCCACCCCACCCCCCTTTCCCTTCTTTAAACCAAACTCACGCAATGCCCCGCCCTCACAACCCCTAAAACCAGGGTCCCCTTTACACACAAGCCCTTTACATATCCAACCACAGCTTTCATTATGCAAGAAGCTGTTAAACCCCTGGGCAACATTGCCCAAAAAGCTAAAAAAGCCCAATAAACCAGATATTAAACATGTTTTAAAACAAAAACCCAGGCCTTCTCTTTCCCGGGAAATAACAAATTTTCCCTTTGAAGCCCGCATTACAAAAAAATTTTTATTAGGGGGTAAAAAACCTACAATAACCAATTTTTGCTGTTTTTTCCAAAAAGTCAATACCTTTTTCCCTTTTGTCAATTTTAAACCCTTGACTGCT